TTTATATATATATATATATATATATATATATATGTATCCTGTGATAAATAGCAAAGGTGCACGTTGCGTAGTGGTTTCGAAGTGCAGTGTAACGCACACAACGAGAGTTAGTTCACGGCCTGGCTAAACCAAAGCCTCCTCCACCTTTCCGGGATCGAAAAAGTGTTACTAGAGTTGTCTAGATGAATAAAAACGTTGAACTCATGCATTGGTAGGCTCTCAGGCGAGTTATGTATTCAGTCGACTCTACGATGCTACGAATACGCTTTAATCGTTTTCTCCTCACAGAAAATGTCACTCTCAAAGGAGAATGTTATGTCGGAAAACCAACAGAATATCAGTGTAATGGAAGAAAGTATTTTTCTTTATGAATAATTATAAATGGATTAGGCTAAATGCTAAGGATTTGATTAGACCTTGCGTTATGTGCCGGGCTTGTTTTGTGTGAGGTTCTCCTTTGACGGTGTCAGACTTTGTTTGCAAAAGTGTTAGGCGTTAACCAATCCTTGTGGGATGCGCCATGTATTTCAGTCCATTAGTAGCACCGTGGAGGTGATTGAATGTGTATTTGAATTAAATTAATTTCAATGGCTTATCGATGTATCAGTGTGTTATCAGTCAGTGTTTTCATCCTGTCAGCAAGTTTAACCCTAAAGGAATGGAAGGCTTGGTGATTCCGGATTGAGAGAGCGAACCAATGACTGTGTATGCATTTAAGCGTACATTTATTTATCTGTTTCTACGAATTGATCTCGTCGAGATGATGCGAAGTTCGTGTTTGTTGTTGTTGTTGGTCGATGGTTGACCGTCAGCCATCACCACCAACAACAACAACATCTACACCAACCTCGGATCAACTCAACAAGATCAGTTCATGAGAACGTGTAAATAAACAGATCGATTATTTATGGCGAGGTTTATAGAAAGTCGGTCTTTTAAATCATTTCAAAGTAGTTCTAATCACTCCACTACACGGGATTTTCGTTGGCATTGACAGAAATCCACTAAACGCCTCTACAACAAGTGACTTCATCAATTGAGTCATCACAGGATGTACGAAATCATCAAGTTTTGTGTTTTCAGAGGCGAAAAAAAAGGACATCGGCTTGTGAATAATTTACTACTGGTTCGCTGACAATACAAAATCAACTCGAGCGGAAAAGCTTAAAATGTTAGCTTTCACGCTTCCATTGTTTCTCTATGGTAATTTCGATCGAATATTTAGCTTCTGGAAGCTATATGTATGACTTGGATGCTTTCTGAGACTGTCACCCTATTTATCTTTCATATGTTTTTCATTTACAGTGAACTGTTTCCCATCAGAGTGGCTACAGATGTCTCGTATCTGAGTGAACAGAATATCTTCGAAATGAGGTGTCCTGAAGCACATACTTGGTTATGGGTTCGATTTCGATCCCTTATCCCTGACAAACTAAGCCATCCATCGATCCGAGATCTTTGGTACATTCGTGAGTCCAGCAAATAATTGTGCATACCAAATATGCATTCAGTCAACTCGAAGATGGGGTCAAATGCATGTCATGTCACATTCGTGTAGGTTCGATTAAAAATAAACGTTTTATTCATATGATCTTGTTGAGCCGACGCGAGATTGGTATAAATTTTCGTTGTCGTTGCTGTTGGCGTTGTCGTTGCTGTTGTTCGTCGGTGGATGACGTTTCGGAGATTTCGCCTTCTTCAGAGCCGTGCTGTTACGAGTGGGACAAACAATTTACTATTGCTATTCAAATCTTGCGGTGTTATAGGTGTTTATTTTCCTGTATGAGGTATGAACTCAGTGTAGAAAGGATCATTAAAGTAAAGATGGAAGAGTTTTTCAGATATGGGGTGAGTTTTCCAAAGACGTGACAGATTTTGAACTTCAGACCAAAGCGCTTTAACTTTACTGTTCTCGCGTGTCGGGATTGAGAGAGGAGAGATGGGCGCTACTTGTCTATTTTCGTCTCTTCACTAGCGATAGGATCGCCTGTTGTGTGGTGGCAATCGCCTTACTTTTTCTCCTTATGGTTCTTAATCCTTGAGAAAAACCCACAATTTCGCTCTTTATTTTCAAAAATTCATGCTTACAAATTCAATTGTTTTTTTTGAATATTTCTATTAGATTTCTATTTACAGTCTTTCTACTTTCTACGAGTACGTCCAAGCAATGTACGCTATCATCCACGGTCTATTTTGTTCTGAGTCTAAACGAAAACCGAAAGATCGGGAGCTTTTCTTAGTTTTCGTGTTGCATTTTGTTTGTTTCCTTTGAAATGTTCGTTGAATAACTATTTCGTATAGGTGAGCATAATTCGTGGCTGATTAAAATGCACTTCATCGAGCAACGTCAACGTGAAACCGGTTTCATTCCGCTTTGGTGTCATAGTAGTTTATCGTACGATAGACGGGCGCTTAAGAGAGTGACATGAGTTCATGTCCTCATTCCAACACTCCATTCACACCATCTCGATCAATTACTGTCTAAAACACAGCTTTTTAACTAGTACTTAAAGCAGTGTTTTTCTAACGATCGATATTCTCTATAGCTCCTTTCTAGAATAAATAGCTGACGTAGTTCCTGAACAAACAATGAAATAAATGGAACAAAAGCTTCACGTCGCTTTCTATATGTACAACTTAGGTAGTTACTGAGTGTCATTCTTATGAATGGTATTCTTCTTTCTAGCCTTTATTTTCCTGTAAACTCTCTATGTTTCCTTCTTTAGATTATCGCCATTACTTCGGGAAGTCGGAATTTACCTATTATTATCGATAAATTGTTTTCGTTGCTAAATGTCATAAATCCGTTGTGAATTCGGCATGGAATCGGTGTCGATAAGGAATATCTGATTTCTTTTATGCTCTTACTCGTTTAACTACATGCTCCGCCTTCAAATGCCTTAAATCCACAAGCACTCAGTACAGTGGTTGCGTTCTGCTGCTTGTAACTGCCATTAATCAAAATGGTTTCACTTTTATTTTTCCTCGTATTCTTTTTTTTCATGGCAGGGTACGACGTTAAGTATGACCATTTAGACACTCAGATATGATCGAAACTTGGAGCTTTAGTCAGGGTTCGAACCCGCGATTGTCTTTACAAGGGCACACATGCTATTCGCCACACCGACCGAGACCCTTGTTTTAATTCTCTGTTAGCTGTGTTTTTAATCCTTCGGTGCTCTCAGCAATCACCCAGGAATGATCCGTTAAGTCAGTTTAAGTTTAATGAATCATTTTCAGCTTAAGTGGGTTCAACGCCGATTTTTGCGCTGCAGATCATTCCCATTAACGGTGTTTGCTGATGGCATAGTTAGAGTAAAATAGTAGTTGATAGAAAGGCAAAGAAAAGACCCAGGTTGGTGTGGTGGAAAGCAGGGAATCCTCCAGAAACGATAATAGCAGGTTCAAAGCGCAATTGAGGTACCTAACTTAGCTCATGTCTCAGTATCCCTTTGGCTGTCTTTTAAAATACTTGAGTTCGTGTTTGGATTCGGCTGCAGTTTCAAAACCCATCGTATTCTTCTCTTATTGATACACTTAATACTGGTTGAATGTTGTCCTCCCTGTAATCCCGAGATAGCCGTGCCATGGCGCTCCCATATTTTCACCAACGGCGATCGTCGTCCATATGGCCTTTGTGGATCGGGGTGAGATTTCCTGCAATGTGACTAGGATTCCTGCAGTGCTACATCAATCTCAATGGTCATTTTTTTGTATGATCAACGAGTTTTACGTCCCGTTTAGCTTGCTAAAACTTTAGCTCAGTGAAAATTATGGAAATTTGAGTAGCCTCGAGAAATGTAACACTTAAAAAGCTCACCTAGCGCTCTTGTTCACGAAACATGCTTTCTTCAACAGAACATAATAAGCTTTGAAGATGTTCAGTTGCATATCTTGATGTTCTCACACAACATTACGAAAGCAAAAATGAAACCTGATGGCGGCAACCGCTTTCATTCAACGGCAGTAAAACGACATCTCATGCTGCCCATATAGCGCTTTGAGATATCGGGACCACCTGTTTCGTCGCTTAGACCGTTATGTCTCGTTATTCAGGCGTTCAGCACACGCACATAAGGCGGTGGGTCAACGGAGGCGAGCCGGCATCGCCGCCATCCGCTGTGCCCTCATGCCCTGGCGGCGGTCAGTCTGTCACCAGTTTTTTATGGCGGACCTGTTCAACTCTCTGCGGCTGATTTAATACTGTACATATCCTTTTTTATTTTTGTTTTAATAGATCAAGAAAGTAAAAGAAAAATCTGTGGTGCAAATCGATTTCAATATTTCCATCGCTTTGTTTTGTCCACGCACCTCCCTCATCACTAAACAACTCGATGTTTCTGGTAACCACTGGTGTCATTTTCTTCAATATATGAAAACGAAAGTATTTCTGTGCATACAACTTCATTCGTTTGGCGTATAATATTAAAGATCTGCTGTCTGAAGAAACTTCTGACCTCGACTTTTTCTCTCTTGGTTCACTTTCGCCTTTAGCGACGTCATTCTTTTCCTCCTTCATTAGCGTCAAGCAAAGTTCATCGGTTTTTTCACCTTGATATTTAAGAGAAATAAATGTCATCGTGACCTTAGAAATATAATGGGTGAAAGTATCACACATGGCAGAAACGTTTTTGGTTTTTTAACGAGGTTTAGATGGTTTCTGCAGTTGTATTAAACAAAATAGTTATTATTGAACATTTTCTTAAAAGATTGTCTTTATGCCATGGATCTGTATGAATTATAACTGAAAAAATCAAGTAAAAGTATATATTTAAACTCTTTCGGAAGTAGTGATATCATAAGGTTTATTACGTCATTGTTTGTTCTTACTCATTATTTTCTGGTAAAACACTCTGCCACTCTTTCTCATTGTCTCTCATATGCACTCTCTTACTCTGTTTTTCCACACTCATCCACTCAGTCATTCTTTCATCTTTTCATATGATGGCAGTTATTGTTTTCACAGGCATGTGGTTACTTCTACTACTGCCTATGTTTGTGACGTCACTAACCCGAGAGCCGGTCTATCTGGGCCAAGTCTATCAGAAGCCGCTATCACAAAAGGCAAGTGTTTATTTGTTTAGGGACTCTTATACGAATAAAACTTATCAGTTGATCAGTTATTTTGTCTGTTTCTGTTTTGTCTTTCTTGTGAAGATGATACTCATATAGGCATTTATATTACTGATCAATTCTTGGTGATCTTAACAAGATTCAATTGGAGATTAAATGTAACAAGCAAAAATATATCTACCGCAACATTTTGAAAAGTGACGGCTAGGAAATAGCCGTAAGAATTTTAGAGTACTGTGACGGGTGAGTCTGGAAGAAAATTATCGTCATGGTTGATCGTAAAGAATGGCATTTTATATGGCATTCCCGGAAAAGAAGATATTGGATCGCATATGATAAAAGTGAGTAGGTCAAATTACTTTTTCACTTAAATATTAATACTGAGTAATAAGTTTCTCTTGCCACCGGTAAAAATTGCTGTGGGGAACGTCGACGTCCTAAGAATCTTTTAATGAAAAAAGCTTGTCGTTAGGGGAAAGAATATATATATATGATATATATAGTAGTAACTTCTGAACTACTGCACAGGAATAAATTTCAAGTATTTCCACAAGGTTGCTGAGATATGAACAAAACTTGGGCCTCAATTGGGCCTCGAACGCGCGCTTGCCCTTATCGTGGACTCAATTGCTATCCACCACTCCAATCGAGCTTCTTACTTTGCCTTTCTTTCACTCAGTTTCTTTATCCTAACGGTTCTATCAGCGATCACCAGTTAATGGGAATGATCTCGGGAGCAAAAATTAGCAATGAACCTAGTTAAGCATAGGTGCAGTTCCGTGTTTTACTCTTATCTCATCATTCTTGTTGTTGTATTTCACACAGTACTCTCCTATGAGAAAAAAGAATAAGTATCGATTAAAAGTCAACATATTTTGATCTCATATATGTTTAAAAAGAGCTTTTTTTTTACCATTGAGGCGCCTTATAAACGAAAATCGATATGACTTTGCATTAGTTGTTTTTAGTTACGTAAACAGTTAGCTAGTTCTAAATGTAATAATTAGTCAATTAATACCTTTTAATTTAATTTATGGGGCAGACTTTGGCCAGGCTGTCTTCGAGATTCCAGGAAACCACAATGGCTGAACCAACAAATCCGAAAAGTGGTGATTATACTGGGGTCCACACGTTCACGTGTCAAGTGTCAAGTAATTTGATTTATACGACGGCTAAACTTTTGCTGATACAATTTTGGCCTTGTGGAATAAATTTTTATCCAAGTACTTGTCTTAAATAGTTTTTATGGATCCTAGTTGAATTTTTGTATTAAAAAATGGGGGCGACTAATTCCTTATGCTTCCTTTTTCGTGCCTTTTTTGTACATTATTTTGAATGAACCCACTTTTATAGATTAGTTCTCCGTCTAAAAAAGAACAAATCATTGAATTTCTTGTGAGAGAAGATACAAATAATCCGTGTGGTGATGAGGACAATTACTGGGTGGAAGCACTCTACGAGCAGGACGAACCGGTCAGAATGAGCCTATTACAAGCTTTAGTGTTTTTCTCAATTTTTCCAAAGAGAAGTTGTTGAAGTTGTTTCAGTTGTGTTCCATATTATGAATTGCGGACAATTCCAACCATCGAAAAAAGTGAAGCTTTCAGCACTTTCTTCAGAAAAAGCATTAATTTCAGACTGAGAACCGCATCGAAGCAGCACTTGATGTCGCCACTGCTCTTGAAGTAAACGTGACTGAATTAAAGGTTTGTCCTAACTATGAGACGATCTTTAGTACAATGGTTAGAAATTTCTTGCACTACACACACGATCATTGGTTTAATCTTGCGCCATGAAGACACTAAGCCTATCGTCCTTCCGAGGTCAGCAAAGTGGTTCCAAACTTGTCTGGGAGGATAAGAATACCAACCTGTTACATTAGGTAGATCTACATAAATCACTTCATAGGCCAAATTTGCATTCAACCTCCTATGTAGTGCTACGGTTTGAGTCGAATGCACCACGAATCTGATATGGCACTAGTGAACACCGAGCAATTTAGCCTTTATCATTTATGCTTTATGCGACAATTTCAGCTCTAGAATGATGCTAAAATATGTTATGACTCTCATAGCGCGCGCTATTAATAGCACTAACATGTGCCGTCAGGTCGTAAGTCAACTTTCATATCTGTCATCTTATTTATCGAAGTTTGCTTTTGTGGTTGTTAAGCTCACACCTCACCACCACCTTAAGTGGTTTATTGGCGCCTCATTTTGATTATGGAGTGCTTCTAGGTATTTCTGCTTCTAGGGTCTAGGTATTCGATTCTAGGCCAATATCGAATATCATGGGTTTATCCCCTTGCAAGATGACTAAAGGGGTGGAATCGGAAATTTGCAATATGGAAGTTTGGAGTGAACTTATGCAGCGAATTGAATTTTATGCGGTACTCTAAATTATATTCTCACTAAAAAGAGCAGAAACAAAGGTTTTCCTTTTTTGTTTCAATTCTCAGACAGATTCTCAAACAATAAATCTCATGTTTTTCGCGTAAGCGGAGCGCACTGAGCAATTCCGATGCGTAGCGAGGACGAGTTAAGTTTACTCTTGCGCAGATAAGTTAGAACACGATTACACGATACGGAGTCAGCTTGCTCAGATCTTCAACTATTTCGGGAAAGATATTTTCATAGCTGCAGGTTCCTCCACAGCTAAAATTATTCGTCTGCTGGAATAATTGCGTAGCATGTTGTAGAGTAAATAAAATACTGGTAGCAAGTAGAAGATCGTTGGTTTTGACTTCAATCTGTCGTATTTCACTTTCCTTTCCCAGGCTTGGCAATTTGGTGGAAGGTTTTTCGACACTTGACGCCTCCCCATATCTGAAGAAAGTGATTGTATGAAACGAAATGCACATGGCATGACTAAATGCAACTGCAATATGAAATTATGTTATATGAAATTATTATGAAAAATATGTTATATGAAATTAGTTACCAAAATCGACTTTGTATTAACCTCGGCATTGGATTATAAATGTCTCGTTTTCTTTTGCAGCAATCGCGAAGTTGTTATTCAGCACGCGTTTACTTCCATACAAAAACACGCAATACAACAGTAGTTGACGTTTCGGTAGAATCGCTTTCTTCAGAGCCTGGAAAGGTACACTAATACGCAACTTACTAGGTCAAACGCTTCAACAGCACAAACAGAAAATCTGGACGAAAATTACAAGAACTACGGCTTCTCGAAAACCCACCGTTTTTTACCTGCCTTCCACCCAGGAAGACAGCTGCTTAGAGTCGCACATGGTTGGTGACTGCACCACTCCACATCAACGATCGATACGAAGCTATGGGACGAGATCACGTGTGATTTCTGGGCATTCTTCCCTACTATGTATTGTAGGACTTTTGGCATTTATCCAAAAAGCCTCGAGGAGTTTGTGCGTTGGTGTTTTAGGATTCCGTGCGAGGATAGCGACTTTAATATCAAAATCGTCTCCGCTATGCTTTTGTATCCTTTGCGTCCCTGGTGGCGTGCCTTGTTTTGCTTTTCGTTTGCCATTTAGGTGTCCTTTTATGCGGATACATAAAGGTCTTCCCGTTTCGCCAATATATTCGTCTCTACAAGTACCACAAGAGATCATGTATATCGTACTTGTACTCATGTGATCACCGTCCCTGCCATAAGAGGCATATTATGCAATTCTGTGTTTCACAAAGATGGTCGTATAAACGGTTACGAACTGACTGACGACGAAGACTATTCGGTGGTATTTCAACTACTGCTATCGATCCCTCAAGATCTGCCCTTTTTAAGCATCGCTTCATCGCTACACTTACATCATCTCTAATAAAGGGCAGGATAAACGGGATTTTGTTTCGACTAAACCGTTCGTTTTGGGGCGTCGCTCTCGTTCTCAACTTATCTCGTGAGGTTAGTGTTTTTTACCAGTTGCTTAACCACATTCCAGCTCACCTCACGAAAACCTAAATGTTTCTAGAACGTCTACGTAACGCGTCGCCTAATAACGCGTACGTGATGGAGTCCTTTAACGTTACCGCGCTGTACACCAACGTATTGAATGACTCTGCAATGCAAGCCATCTTTGAACTTCTTGTTGAACATTAAGGAAGAGTAAACATGCATGGCTTCTTCATCCAGCAGCTAATGGCTTTCTTAAAGGAGTGCCTAAACTGCTCGATTTTCAGATGGTCTGGGAAATATTTCGCGCAAATAAGGGAGTTGGCAATGGGACAGTGGATGGCCCCAACTCTCGCCATTGTATTTATGTCTAAGATAGAAGCCCCTGTTCTCGGTCTCCGCCACTACTCTACTGCAGATGTATAGGTGATTGTCGTCTTCAGCACGCAGGAAGAGATGGACAAATGCTTTGACTTATTAAACCAGCAGTCTGAGTACATTAAGTTCACACGTGTGAAGCCGAAAGAAAGCTGGCTTTTGTTTCTAAACGTTGAAATAAACCTATCAAGTGGCGGTTACATGACAAACTGGTACCGAAAATCAAGCAGCAAAAACATCCTGGTTCATTTCCTTTCTCCCACCCTTCACACACAAAGGTGCTTGTGAGAAACATGTTTCGAGCAGCTACCTCTGTGTGGATAAGTAGGGAGTTGAAGGAGGAATCGCGCAACTTGGCTCGACAAATAGCCATCTTCAATGGCTACGAAATAGTAACTTCACGAGATAAATTTGGAAGGAAAGCGACGCCCTAAAACGAACAATTTGGCCGAAACGAAATCCCGTTTATGTTGCCCTTTATTAGAGATGTAGTAGGTGTAGCGATGAAGCGATGCTTAAAAAGGGCAGATCTTGAGGGATCGATAGCGGTAGTTGAAATACCCGCGAATGGTCTTCGTCGTCAGTCAGTTCGTAACCGCCAATACGACCGTCTATATGAAACACAGAATTGCGTAACTTGCCCTTATGGCAGGTACGGTGACTGCACGAGTTCAGGTACGATATACGTGATCTCTTGTAGCATTTGCGGAGATGAATATATTGGCGAAACAGGTACACCTTTGTGTATCCGCATAAAAGAACACCTAGATGGCAAACGAAAAGCAAAACAAGGTACGCCACTAGGTACGCACAGGATACAAAACATAGCGGAGACGATTTTGATGTAAAAGCCGTTATCCTTTCACGGGATCCTAAAACACTAACGCGCAAGCTCCTCTAGGCTTTTTGGATAAATGCCAAAAATCCTACAATGAACATCAGGGAGGAATACCCTGAGATCACACATGATTTTATCCCTTACCTTCTTATCGATTGTGGTTGATGGTTGATGTGGGGTGGTGCAGTCGTCAACCATATTCGACTCTGGGCGGCTGTTCTTCCTCGGTGGAAGACAGGTGAAAAAAAGCGGTGGGTTTTCGAGAAGCCGTAGTTCTTGTAATTATCGTCCAGATTTTCATCCTTCTGTTTGTGCTGTTGAAGCGTTTGACCTAGTAAGTTGCATATTAGTGTACCCTTCCAGCCTCTGAAGAAGGCGATTCTGCCGAAACATCACCTACGGTTGTGTTGTATGTGTGTTATTGTATGGAAGTAAACGTATGCTGTTTAACAACCTCGCGATTACTGAAAAAGAAAATGAAACATTTAAAATTATTTAATGGAATGAGGGGTGTTATCTACATAATTATCTAAGTTTCCTTCCATGGAGATGAGTGTAGCGTTGTGCTCATAGGCATTCTTAAATACACACGTAGTCATTGGTTCGGTTACACGCTCATATTTAGGACAGCATCTATCTTTTTAGGGTTGGTAGATTTGTCCCAGAATTATGCTGCGAAGGGGATCGAATTCATGACGAGTCGCACAAGGGTTGCTCAACAAAATACTCTGTTTTTATCCTTTACCCTCACTTTTCCGTTCTGGACAGACGGCGATTTTTATGCCTTTGGCTTTTTTCACTTTTTAAAATTCATTTTGTACTCATTTTGTTTACTTCAGGTCTACAGTTATAATTATTCGCGTGCATTTCGAAAAGTCGAAGCAATCGGTGGTGATGCGAAGGCGGCATTTACTATCATGAAGAAGGTGATGATCACGAAGGAATTTGCCTTATAGGTGAAATAAAACCAGACCAGGAAACAAAAAGGAAGAATTTTCGTCGTTTAGGTAGCATGTGGCGACGATTTAGAGACGGCGGCCAGTGAAATGGATACATTTTTGAGCGCTGTAGAGAACGTCGAATATGACTATGTTGTGGTTAGTTATCGCGTTCTTAATGGCTTTCTTCGAAAAAAAGTTTCTTCTCTTCACGGACCTATTATTTTCATTAATTGCGATCTATTTATTAATCCTGTTTGTTTTCAAGTTGACAAAAGGTCGCGTGCTTCAGCTGACCAACGACAGCAGTTCTACCGTAGGAAAGGTGATAAACGTTGTTTTAACTAGTAGTGGGCGCCAAGCAATAATGGTTCACATGAGAGTTGAACACTTTAGTTTACCGCTGTAACTGAGGTCACCACCTTACGTACAACTCGAAAAGTCGACAATCCACCGGTGAAGCTGAACTCGTTGTCTGCCTTCACTTGTACGCGGTGCGTTGCCTTAAGTGGTTTTTTTTGGTTACATTGTGTTTGCTTGAGAATCAAAAGAGGTAATGATTTTCGTTATTCGATGCATATTTCCTAACCTCTCAATTATAAAATTTACAAATAGTCGGTTTAACTACTGCTCTTCGTATATAATGATGATTCATGTGTGAATTGTTAGGAAACAGACTGAAAGAATCAACGCATACTCTTTCATTTATATGCTAACACGAACTTGATGAAAGTCTTTATTCGGCTGATGTTTCGGTACTTTCTCCTTTTCTGGATTGGTCCAAGTCGATTGTCCACAATTCTTCCTTCTTCCTTTGTGGGCTTTCGTGATCTCATCGAGTGAAATTCAGTGGAGCGCCGCTCAAATGAAGCATTCTCGTTCAAAGTGAATCAATTTTCTGCATTAGTTTCACAAGAGAAAGTTAGCGCTGGTGTAACTTGCTTTCCAATGAGTGGAACAGTTCGTTTCCAATTCAGTTCGATCGTCGTATCAATAACCATCACTAATTTCTGATCAACGAGAATAGTATTACTACTTCCCAATATCGTCTCTGTGGATTCTTGGAATGGATTTTAGCTGCTTGATGTGGGTGCATAAAGTATCGAAAGTTACAAAGGTTATACTTTAAGGGAAAATCTCGTTACTATTTGGTCAATGTGGTCTGCTTTCTCCCATAATCGGAATGACGTTGTAGTTCTTGGTGATCGATTGTTGGTTTGGTTTGTATAGGCGACAAGGAATAATCGGAAGTGCAAAGTTTTTGCGATGACCGTGTCTGGCCGACGACGATCACCTAAGAAGACAACGATTATTAGGTTGTTCAGAGATAAATGAGAGTTGTTTTTAATATCTATTGTTTCAATGTATTTTTGTCCAACAAAATATTCTTTGTACCTTGCAATACTGTACATTATTAGAAGGACGATTTTATGCTCTCTCTAACTGAGTTTTTATATTTTGTCAAAAATTATTTTATTACCAATTTGAGATTTTAAACGTCAAAAACGAATTGTTGTCAAATTTTCTTTTATGGGTTCAAACTCGGTAATAGTGCACCAGAGACGGCTCAAAACATTAAAGGGAAGGGAAGTTTGGGGTGAAGGTAATGTTGGTGAATCAACTGTGTGAACATGGTTCCGAAATTCCGACTAGGTGATTTCGACCTCCAAGATAAGGAACGCCACCGACATCCCAATAAACTTGACGACGACGAAGTGAAGGCACTGGTGGAAGCAAACACGCGAACAGCTGTTCGAGAACTTGCAGAGCAGGTTGGCGTAAACACAGAAACAAGTTCTACTCACTTGAATCGCATAGGAAGGACAAAAAACTCGACAATTGGGTGCCGCACGAATTTAAGGATAATAAAAAATTCGCTGTTTTGAAGAATCATCTGCTGTTATTCTGCGCAACAAAATGACCCTTTTCTTGGTCGAATTGTGGCGTGCGACGAGGATTGGATTGTGTACGACAACCGGCGACGTTCAGCTGAATGATTGAATTGCGATTAGGCTCCACAGGACTTCCCAAGGCCGAAATTGCACCAAAAATAGGTTATGGTGGAAGAATAAGGTTAAGATAGAATCTGCCAATTAATTACGAAACACCTGCTTCCGCGTGTTTACGGGCGTTCCGCATCTTTCTATTCAAGAATGGTCAACGGTTTGTTTTCGTTGAAAAACATCCTGAACAGTAAGAAGGATAAACAACGAAAATAAAAGAAGAGTTTAGTTGCAAGCGGGTAGAACTTTATAGTTTATATTCGTTCATGTTTCTTCCTTGATAGGGTATAATGTGAAATACAACAAAAGATGGCATGATATGGTAATAGGTATGTATAGATAATACTATGGTTGTAATCCAGCTCATCCCACCATTGCTCTATCAGGATGGGCGGTGGTGTGTGCTTCCATAAAATCGCCCTCGCAAAATTTTCGAAGGGTTTTGGATAAAACTAATTTGATATGCCGACCAAAGGTTATTCACGAGCTCTGCAGATAATGGGTAGGGAAATATCTCAACAAGAACTCTCTTCCGATCTATAGACTATATAGTTACGAAAAAATGTTCTCTAGTCGGTTTGTTTTGTTTGGGAGCTTCTTATTCGAATATTCGACTAGTTGAACTGACCGATGCTGCGCGTCTCATCAACAATTCGTCCATCACCAGTGATTTAGCATGAGACCGCATCTTTCTATTGTTCTGGCGGTGTCCAATGTTGTGAATAATTCTGGCATACTGCCAATCCCTGGCGAAATGAACGTAATACTTCTTCCCCATTCTTACTGACGGATGATTAGTGATGGCACCGTACAGATAAAATGAATGGCTGAAAGAAAGGCGGGACGAGGACCTCAATGGTGCCGTACGTAACACGTAAGCACCTAGAAACGGTAATCACGGTTTGGCCTAATCTGGGGTCCAAGTTTTGCCAATGTCTCAGCATCATTATGGTACTCTTTTTTTAAATTTATTACTTTCTGCCTGCTTTTTTTAATGGCAGGGTATATTGCGAAATATAATTTCAATGATGCTGAGATATTTGCAAAACTCCGGGCCGCAGGTGTCTGCGGTGGGGAACGAACGCGCTATTGTCCTTTCCGGGGAGTAACGCGTTCACCACCACACCATGCGGGTCTTTCGTTTCGCCTGTCTCTAAGCTAGTTCTATCATTCCCCATCGCATACACCTACGGTCCGGAGTTTTGCAAATATCTCAGCATCATTGATGATACTTTTTATTTGAGCAAGCGTGAACAGTTTTGACGAGAAAGATTTACCGAAGAAATGCTTTAAAATCGTTGAATTCGAACGACTTAGTAAGAACGTCGGAATATTTTGCGGCAGTATGCTTTTGATTTTGGATAAAATGATTGATACTAAATGTGAATCTACTGTATGCACATCGTACCTTTTATTACAAGTTCCCACCGATGTGAAGGTTTGTAAATGCGAGACCTAGCAGCCAATCATGCAGCCAGTACATGGAGAACTTTCGATCTCGTCTTGGACTTCAGACTCATCGTCAAAGCTTTGCTCTCGTTGGACTATTCTGTTACTCCAGAAAAGAGTGCCCGAAAAATTCCGCGTCTAGAGAGTACGGCAATTTTTACACCGAAGTTATAAGTTGTTGCCCGCGCTGCGAAAGGATGAGAAGGGATGTACCGTCTCGGAACTGCGTTTCTGCCACAAGAACAGAAAGATTTTTACTCCTATTGGTCAACTAATAATTGTTTCCAAATGAAGACGCCGATTTTTTTCCAGGCAGTCAACCCAAATCGATGGTCTGAATGGTTTTGGTTGTGTGGATGTGTTTTTTCTTTTCCTTTTTTTCGGCATAGTAATTTCATGAGAACACAATAATATAATTAAGTTCTTGTTTCTTCTTCACGTTCTTGTTTTATTTTTTTCTCTTTAATGCTACCTGTTGGATGCTGCTGGTCGTTTCTGTGGTGCTACAGCAGCACTGCAATGCGGTCTACTTAAGAACGAAAATGTCTGCATGTGTTAAGGACAATATGGAGACCAGCTGCGTCGACTGCAATCGTTCTGTTCGAACGAATTGCCGTCAATAAAATACAATTCCCTTGAGTAAGAGATTTGCACTAAATCATCAATGTCGGATATGTCGAGATCGAAATGTAATTGGTATCTTTGTTGTGGGAATGGGAGTATGAGCCAGCACAGCTGCATCACACACACAAATGCTTTTTGGTTTTCCTCGTAATACGGTCCACGAATAGTAGACGAACAACGTTTCACTTACATTTACATCCCCATTATCATGTATCAACTTCCACGGGATAGCATTCTTGAAGTATAAATTGCGGAAATATCTATGAACATTGAACGGCGGATAACGGTAACGGTAACGGTAACGTTCGGCGCGGATATACCGACAACGAAAGAACAATATAAAGAATTCAAATATTGAAGTGGTGTACAATGCCTGACTTGAGTTTAACTGGCCCGTCTTAACTAAGTACTGATCTTAGCATTTTTTTTCCACTTGACTGTAACGTTATTGGATAGGCAATACAGCCTATTTATTGTAGCCTCGAGGTTATTCTACCAAGCTCTCCCCAGAACGCCGTTAACACAGGTAGTCGGTGGTTATCGTGGATCGAGAGATGATTTACTATTTTGTTACAAGGTTTTTTCTTCCCGAGCGACGACTGTTTGTGGTTTACACTTAATTGACCTACAAGATGGAAACTTCAAGAACTGACTATTGAAATCACTGTAATTTCAGAGTTATATTTCCAATAGCTGATTTTGAGAACAAGAGAGAATGAGAATTCTTATAGTGGTGTTTATTGTGAGATGATCATACCGGAGAGCACATTCAAAGATGTTGAGGACGGTGATACATTTAAACTGAAACTATCAGTGCAGTCAATCGACAAAAAGGTTTGATTTCGTTATTAGTTTATTGATTGACCATATATATCATCACATTAGTTGATCCTTCTTTTGACCTGAGACGGATGAAGAAGACTGTTTGCGAATTGCGTAATACGGTGGTCGTGGTCACGATAATGCTGCTCTCATTTCCGTGGCCATTGAAGAGATAGAAACTGGGTGGCACTGATTGGTTTCTGGGCCTGAGTAAGGAAATGAACGAAAAAATTTTTCCACGAAAGTAGTGAGTTAGGGATTTTTCCTCGTGGAACTAACTGAATAATTTTCTTCTCTGATGATAATTTTAATCTGGCCTTGGAGAAGTGATATTGATAGCATCACAGAGCTCAATATCACATGTTTTGTCCGTTTTCATTTTTTCTTGGTCGCGTGTCACCAACTATTATGGATCTTTTTTTGTAGGAATCTTGGATTTTCTACGAACACAAGAAACTTAAAGGTGTGCCGCTTGACGAAGGTGACTATGAGTTCCGTCTTGAAGCCAGAGATAAAGCTGGACAGGTAAAAGGAAATTTGAGAATTTTAACCTAATGTCACTCATTGACACTAACCAATAACTGGCCGTTTCCTTGATTATAACACACGCGAGATTGTTATTTGTTTTTTTTTGGTTCGTATGATAATAACCTAGTGTGTGCTCTTCAATACAACCACTTATCAATCATTGCCGAATTTAACAGAAAGCCGGTCTTAGGATTTATTATCTAGTAATATTTCTTTATTGGCTATAATCCCTTTTCCGTCATGAATGTTAATAGTTTTATTATCCTTACTAACGGTCTACTGTGCATCATCGTGGTTAGGATGCGTTCTTGGGTGTAAGGCTACGATGCACAGAGTGGGATTCATCCTCCTGGATGGGTCTTCCAAGCTGAGAAGGACTCCGGTGTTTCCATCAGGAAGCCCAGCTAAGAGTAAACTAATACCGGGATCCACCACCGTCTTGCTATGAAACAAGTCGCACGGTGGCAAACCTCCCACTGATCCACAAAGGCCGGCAACAGCCTGAAGACCTGGAGCAGACTTTGGGCAGGCTGACCGCGGGACTCCAGAGAGCTGCAATACTACAATACTAGTAGACTAGCAAAACTCCGAAAAAATGGAAATTATGCTGTGTATCGTACAACCAGTGAAGACGGGCCATCAAAGCATCCAAGTAAGTAGGTTTTATAACCTTGCCTTGCTATATTTACATCTTGTTGTCGTTGTAATCTTGTCATCCTTTGCTAATTTTCTTGATTTCGTTACTTCACTAGACGTTTAAGAGGATTTTTTTTGTATAAATCGCAGCTGTAGTATTGGTTTATGTCAGAAATTTTTTCTTACTATGAGTTTTTCTCGGGGCGCGTGTGGCGCAGTGAGCGGAGGTGCCCTGCAACATACACGTAGAATTGGTCCTTGCACCGATGGCTCACCAAGCCTTCTATCCCTCCGGCGTCGACAAATTGGCCCCAGATTTGTCTCGGAGGATAGCAACACTGGCTCGATGCATCGGTAGGCCACTGCGAGTCATTGTAAAGGCCAGATATGCATTCAGTCACCTCTAACTATGCTTAATGAAGTAGAATTGATCGTGTATTCCGCAGAGGTTGAAAAACATCGAGAGCTTTATCCTTTTATCTTCTAATATTTATGGAAATTAATCTGCTCATCAATGCAGTGATTTTTCGCGTCTTAATGGAGATTGGAATAGTTTTACTACCATTTGGTACTGCTTTCCAATTCAGCCGCATCTGATTTCAGATGGCGTCTGCTCCTTTCAAGGTGTCCGTCACACAATCGTTTCCCTTCAATCATCTGGTGTTGTTCGAGCTCGACACATCCGTTGAGCACTTCTCGAAGCCGTCGCCGCTGTCGACGTTCGTGCGCAGGTTAGCGCACGCTTTCCGCTGCACTCTGGACGCGATCACCATCCGGAACATCACAGGAAACGCGACTAAGACCACCGTTACATGGAGCAACAACACTGTTCCACATAAGGTTAGTGGAGGCTCTGCGTTCGCATTCTTAGCTTGTGTTATTCATTCAATCGTTTATGCGACATGGTTAGCACTAACACACACACACACACACACACACACACACACCACGCAAAGCATCTGTAACCATAAAGAGAAGTGGTGCGTTTGAATGTTAAGGGGTAGAAAGTAGAAACAAAAAAGACCAGAGCGATTTCATGTTTGACGGCTATGATCATCTCAGGCCTGAAAGGAATGGATGAAAAATGTAAAGAAAGAGTTAAAAAAGTGGCGTAGGGGCTCAAATGAACAAACTTTAATTACCAACATGCCCCGTCTTGTACTTACTTATAAAAACTCATAAGTTGGTATCCAGCGATGATCTTGCGTCTAACGATCC